CTGGGTTTTATTTCAACACATGAAATGTATCTCGTCGATTCTGCTGCATATAAAGCTTTGTTTCATTAGAGTTACCCACTCTCCCTCCGGCGAAATAGCGGTTAGCTTCCTATCCACAAGCGATTTCATTGAACGCGCTCAGTTGACGCATCAGTGCCTAGTGCATCAACTATCGTCATGACTCAGGAGAATAAAAACGCTTATCTGGAGGCAAGGCCTATATTTCACTGTAGAGAGTCACGCGGGTTGTGATGCAGATTGCTGTCACACTACATCAACGTCCACTATGCTTCATCCATCGGTGGCAGTATCTCCCGCATGTAATAAAATACACACTTCAACAACTGCTCCCAATCGTGGTTATTAAAAATGCTACGCAAATACACACTAACATTTGTTGCACATAACAATTTCTCAATTATCTGGGATAAAAAATTAAAAACGCAAGGAATAGGAGCGCATACACACACACACACCAATGTGACATGTGTTTTTTTGCATTTAACGCGTCCACCTGCCAAAACTCACCTCAAGGTGGATGAGTTTAGCGCGAAGCTGAGAGCGACCTTGAAATCATTGACGCACATTTCGATGACACATGAAAGCTATCGCTTTGATTGAACTATCGATATTAGTTTCAAAAAAAACATTTAATTTGCTGCCTAATTGATTAGGGAATCAACTTTATTAATTGGCTGGTCAATAATCAATGATGCTCTATTAAAGGGAGGGGCCAGATGTAAAACTGTGTGGCTGCAGTTGAACTTGTAGGCATGAAGAGTATTGGTGGGTATAAATTGACGTTCTACTGAATGGCCAGATAATTTTTGTAGTAATATGGGGGCTTGTAAAAGTTGGGTGCAAAAAGTGCAGAAAAGTACTGCATAAAAAAGCACTATTTGCATCAATTGCCTCTCCATTCTCTTCCGTGCCTCTCTGTGAACTCGTCAGCGCTGCAAACCAATGCAATAGTAGGAGGCCAATCAAGTTCTGCCATCTTGCACGGGTGCTCCAGTTGCATTGCCTGCGGATGGCCACCTCTGCTAGGCAAGTGATTTCAAAGGTTAAATTACTTGTAAAATGATCTTACACATGCCTGCAATGTCCTCCAGAACGTGATGTTCCATGTGAATCAGATCACAACGCTTCGGACTTCTTTAGAGCGCAAATCCGCATTTGGGATTGATGGAAGCAGCTCTTTACATAAGCTTAAATGCGCTTCAACCGCCCTCGCCCTCTTCATTTCGGTTCTCCACACAAGCTTCAATCACCCTGGCCCTCTTCTCTTCTTCACCCTCATCTTTCTTTCCTCCGATTCCTCCTTTACCTATGCACTCACGCAGTTGTTCATAACTCACCCCTCCAAGTATTAGGCTCTCCTGAGGCTGACAACGATTCCCTTTGTCGAGGAAAATGACAAGTAAGTAGACATGGCGCGCGATCTCGTCGATATTTCCAGCGAACAGTGTAGATAATGATAAGGATGACCCTAACAAAACAGAGAGGTAGTTCAGGGTTCGAAGTGAAGTGGTGAAGGGAGACTGAGGTAGGCTCGGTCAACTCGATGATAGTGCTCACCACAGTGGTCAACTTCTGCAGATTGTGACTGCCTATGCAGTCCGCTAATTCCAA